TATGTATGTATAGGTTCAAACGAGTATGAGAATACGAGAACATTCTTATCACATGTGATAATATGCGTGAGAGCACTCTGTGATGTGCGGACGACGTGTTCTATGACTTAGGCTGCGCGAAAGATTGTATGCGTCTATGATTTAGCATCACATGTGATGATCTTAATGGATTATAGTATCATATCATCAACAGCCTTATCACATGTGATAATACTTGTCAGGGGGCTTAGTGGTGTAAGGGCGACTTGGCCCGCAACCAAGATCGCATCGAAAATCGCCCGTGTCTCTAATTTAATATCAATGTGTATCATATGTGATTATTTATAGTAAAAAGATGTTCTCGTGTTCTCGTAAAATGAAGATGTTTTCGTTTGAACTTTTTCATATATATATATATAAAAGTTGATTCGAACGAAAAATTATATTCCATTGTGAACATAAGGACATATTTTATCCATTGATCAAAATTTTGAAAAATAATCACTTAAAACATAAAAAGGTTAATTAATAAGTGATTAAGAACGAAAATGTTGGTTTTTTATTTTATTTTTTAATTAAAAAATTTGTACCCTCTTAATTTTTAACTAAGTTATCTTAAAGTTAATTAATATTTTAATCAAACAAATTACATCAAAAAATCGAGCATTTCATTCTCTTCAATTTGACATCCATCTTCATATAGTTTTTTTATTAAGTTTTTAACTTTTTATACGTCAAATAGTATATTTATGTAATATTCATTACAAAAATATTTATGCACGTTTATATGTCTACAACAACTACTTAATATTCATACATTAGTATGATATTCATTATAAATATACAACTTGCTATAACATTCGTCATAAATAGCTATGTATTTTCATGCGTATTCAACAAATATTAAATATTCATACATCACTATGACATTTATCATCAATATACACATTTTTATTATGACATTCATCATGAATATACATACTATTCATCATGAATATTTGTGTGTGATCAAGTGTATAAAATAACTCTATAGTATTTATATTAGTATAATATTTATCGTAAATATTAATTTTCACCATAATATTCATCATTCATATATATATTATTCACCATGAATATACTATAGTTTCAACTCTACATACTTTAGTTTTTCTTTCCTTTTCTTTATTGGGTTCTCATTGATATGGATGAGTTTCCGATTCGTCTCGAATGATTTCCCGATCCATCTCGATAAAAGTTAAAAGAGGTAGGTGATGGTTTTACACAAACAAACATGCACCAAGTCAATAGATGGGTTCTTGATTAACCTCCATTGGTGTCGATCGGTCCCAATGGGATGTCCATCGATCTTGATATGTTCTTGATTGGTCTCGATGAGTTCCTGATCTTTCTCGATAAAAGATGAAATTGATAGTCTATGGTTCTACACACAAACAAATAATAAATCAATTGATAGGTTTTCGGTAGAAAATGAAAATGGTAGATTATGGTTTATCACATTATAAACACAAACCAAATCAGTGAAGTGAAAACCTTTTATGGACATGAACTTTATGGAAAACAAACCCCATATAATATCCAACTACAATCTTGCCACCGATTTCATGTCGACCCTAGACGAAACAAATGAGTGGTGAGGATTGGTTTGTAAAATAAACAACCCACATATATATATATATATATATGTGTGTGTGTGTGTGTTATAAAGCATTTAACAGAATTTCTTAAATACTAATTTTAGTGATACATATTACTTAAAATTAAAGATTACAAATAAATTGTACATAAGTATAACTTATTAAAGCTTTATGTTTGAATTCGTGTAACTGTGGATAAATATAATAAAAATACAGGATAAATATCTCATTTTAAATATAAAATATCTAAAATATATAAGGATAATCATTGAATTTTAACAAAATACTTAATTATTATCTTTATAAAAAAGGTATATCATCAAATCAAAAATAAATTACTTCATCATTATACTTAAAGTAAATTATAATAAAAAAATTAATTAAAAAAATTAAAAAGAAGGAGAACTTTTAAATAGTCACTTTGATACTAATATTGATATATTTTTTCAAAATTTTATGATATCCTCAAACTTTTCTATTTTATTTAAAAATAAAAATATCATGGTTTTCTCAAAACCAAGTAAAATTGTATTCTAACATCTATAGAGTCAACGTTAAAATCCAGATGTATCTTGCTGCATTGTGTGATTGGGGGGAGTAGAGAAAAATTGTTTTGTGTGAGTTTTAAATTAAAGATTAAATGGTCGTTTAGTCAAAGATTTTGATTGCTATTCTTATGTTTTAAATACTGAGTTATGCATCAGTAGCTTAAAAGCTACTAATTGAACGAATAATTAACGAGTATTTAACATGTTTTACCACTGTCGCAGTATGAGTACAATAACAA